ACTTGAAAAAAGAAAAGAAAAAAAAAGTGGCACAATTATCGAAGGGTGTGTAGAAGAGAAAACTTGTCTCATGTGACATGAGAATAGTTTTTCCCTTTAAAAATTGGACAAAATTATCAACCTAAAATAGGAGTGGGTTAGACCAATGTTAATAAAATTGGACCGGCCTAGCGGGGTCGACCCAGGAACTGGTAAAACGGTCATATAATCAGTACGGGTGAAGTAGGGGTGTTCGCAGTCTGGATTGGATCGGTTTTGGAAGCAAAAATCATTTGATCCAATTCCTTCGGTTTGATCATGTAATCATCCATTCGGTTTGGATTTTTTTTTAAATCCGATCCAGTCCAATCCAATTTTTTTCGGTTTGGATTGGATCAATTTTCGATTTTTTGAAAATCCTAAAAATTGTTTCATGATTATTGTGCAAATAAAATCTTTTGTATATATTGGCTTTGTAATTTTATTTTTTTTAAATACAAAAGTATCAGTAAACGATAATATAGTTTTTTTTTTTGAAAAATGAGATATGAACCTCTACATAGATGAAATTTTGTTGATAAGATGTGACTAGGTTTTTTCTTAGGTTTAGTTGATGGGTTAATGGGTCTTGGGTTTAGAAATTTTTGGGCTATGATTGAGGAAAGACCCAAGTAGGTAAAGGGAAACTAATATATTGGATCGGCTTGGATTGGATCGGTTTTCATCTACCAATCCGAAAACCGATCCAATCTAATTAAAATTTGCGGTTTTTTTAGGTTTTCGATTTTTCGTTTATTCAGTTATCGGTTTTTCGGTTCGGTTACCGCGGGTTGAATCAGTTTGGATCGGTTGATGAACACCCCTAGGGTGAAGTAACAGATCGGCCATACATCAGAACCGGTGCGACCTGGCCAATTTTCGTGAAAATCGGTGACCCGGTCGGTTAACCGATGATCCGGCCCAATCCCCAAAAAAAAATTCATAATGGATATATTTGAGTATTTTTTGCTTATTGACTTACGTATGTTATGTACCTACAACATTAATATTATCTCAATTATGCATTATATAGGAAATTTTGATTTGGTTTATAGTTAGAGATGTTGTTTACTGACCATGAAGCTCCGTATCACGATCATTATATTTTTGTTTGATTCTTTAATGGATAATAATGTGTGATTTATTATTTTTATATTAAAGTATTTGAATTTTTTATTATTTTTTTAGATATTTGAGTATGTTTATAATTTTTTTAATATAAATTATAGAATTGTATATAATTATCGGGTCATATAATTCAACCAGTGACCCAGTAGACTATCAATTAATCACAACTTAAATGATCGAACTAATATTCACATACAATATTCAACGTTCTCACAAGTGTCAAAGCTAAGATGCAATTAAAAAAAATAAAATTAAAAATGTTCCAATTCTATTTAAAAAGAATAAAAAATAAAAAATTCCACTTCTAATACACCAGATTCACACTCTTTCCTTTTCTTGTTTTCACATTATTTTAACAAATAATTTAAAAAGAGAATGTAAATTTTATACAAATGATTTACAAATTTTTTTTTTATACAAACGAAAAGTTATAATTAATTAAAGTTCCACTTCAATTACAAAAAAAATGTTCCTATTCTATTTAAAAAAATAAAAAATAAAAAATTCCACTTAAAATACACCACATTCACACTCTTTCCTTTTCTTGTTTTCACATTATTTTAACAAATAATTTAAAAAGAGAATGTAAATTTTATACAAATGATTTACAAAAATTTTTTTTTATACAAATGAAAAGTTATAATTGTGCTGTGCTACAAGTTTGATAACTGGAAAAAAAAACTTAATTAGTAAGATACTACAATTAAATAGGATAGTTTTAACGTTATTCAGGTTAATTTGCAAAAGTGTCAAATTTCAAAACAGCTACATACTCTTTTTTTTATTTATAATTTAACTCTCTGATTAGACCAGTCCAAGATAGGATGAATCAAATCACACACAGTTAAAGACTTTGGACCTTAGAATCGTATCAAGTGGGCTAAAATCTGCATTGATAGGTGCTTCTCCTTGTTAGGGCTGTAGTATGGTTTAGGCGCAATGAGAATGACCAGGGGTACCTGCAAAGACACTATGAAGCTCAAGTCACTATCAATGTTAGGTATCTGTTTATAGTTAATTGGAATCAAATGATCATACCTGAGTTTGTTCCTTTCATACTTATAGTAATTTTTGTGCCACTTATGATAGGCGGCATACCTTCTTATTGGTTGTTGTGAATTGTTATCTTTCTGTCTCAGTTGGTGTCTTTCTGGCTATTTTATTGGTGAACAAGTCTATACAATAGCCTGTCTTCTTAGAATAATAGCAAATTGGAGCTGTCTTTCTTGTGTTGGCTCTTATGCGCGATGGAACTCAGCTCGTTACTAAAACTTTCCTTAGTCTTTAAATTATATAAGGCAGCTTTACATGATAATTCGTCCAATGCTTGGCGTTGCATTTTGCGCAATGAGATCATTGCGCCTTCATGGGCTCTTTCTGAACTTTAAACCTTATTGGACTATATGTTGTCCAGATCACTCTCCAACTAAGGTAATAAAGTTTTTTTCTCTTGTTCCTATTTATTTTATTTTATTTTATTTTGGTAATAGTTCCTAATTAATTTTCTAAAGAAAGGGAAGGTAGGTTTGTTCAATTTATTCTCTTTATTTTCTTACTCATCTTTGTTTCGTTTTATTTTTTAGCTTAAGTATCCAAAAATTGGACCAGGATCTTTATGATATGTTCAATGGGGCTAACAACACTATCCCAAAATCTCTCAGCCCGTTGTACTTTTTTTATTTTTTATTTGACTAACACATATTACGGAACGGACTTATATTAACAGGTCCATTTAAGAACTCTAACCTGTTTTCTCAATGGAAAAGTCATATGACTCATTATTCATACATATATGTCTCTATACTCCAATATTAAAAAGAACAAGGGAGGTAAGTAAGGGATTCAAATTTTAAAGAATTTTAATAGATTATTATTGGAAAAAAAAATTATTGGTATTCAATTATGATTTTAAAAGATCATTTTATAGTTCGTCCAAATTCAAATTTTTTATTTTTTTTTGGTAAACATCCAAATTCGAATTTTAAATAAAAGAAAAATAATTTTTGTGGTATTAAAAAATATGACGATTTCAATGAATTTTTTTATTAGTTTGGATTTTGTGAGACTTTCTAGTGAGAAATATAAATAACATGTCACTCTCACAACCTCACGCTAACTCCTGGGATTTTTGAAATTTTTCTATTGCAATGTCTTCTTCTTCCTTTGGCTGGTCGATCTGGTGAAAATCGGATTTTGCCATGGAAGCTTCGTTAAAGCTCAAAATCAATAGATTTTTGAGCGATTTTCATCACAAAACAACATAGAAATAATAACCCAACAAGATTCTAATTTAATCTATCCTAAAAAATGCAAAAATCTGATAGCTTTTGGAAGTTTAAAAAACGATTTTTCAAGCTATGGATAGCAATTTTTCTTGGCATAAAAAGATATAATTTTTGTATTAGAAATAATATAAAACAATGAGAAAACAACAAGGAAACAAAAATCCCCCAAACCAATTTTGAACAAGATCGATTTAAAAAAAGATTGAAACTTTCATAATATGAATATTTTCGTAACAATACATTCATGAATGAAATTACTTCACTATTAGAAATGATTTCAAACAATTTTTTTGGCAATAGATCGCTAAAACTTGTTTTTCAAAAGCTCAAAACAATTTAAGGTTTCAATGTATCGATCAAAAATTATTTGAGAAATTTTCTAAACTTTCATGTAATAAAACCCAGAAATTCAGATTCAAAATTTTCTTGGAATATTCAACGAAAACATGATATGATATATGGTTAGAAAACTCTCATCACATAGAACAAAAACCTCAAAGTTTCTTAGATCAATGACAAAAAATTCCAAACAAAATTTTATCATTAACTTTAGGTTCTATATGCAAATTTTGAATTATTTTAGTAAATAAAAAATTTGTGGGTTTTTTAATCATATATTTATAGCTCTGATACCAAATGAAGAAGATAATTTTCAATCATTTGATCAAACTCAAGAGAGAATATGCTAATGCGTGAAGGGCTAGTATAGATACGTAGAGGACCGCTACTTTGGATGACATCAAGTTATGTCAAATTATTGATTGAGAAAATTATATTAAGTTTTACTTTTTTATTAATATAGTTGCATTTCTTTGTTTTTTTATTAACTCTTGTAATTTTGAATGTTTGTTAAAAATTCATTTGATGTTTAAAATCTTATAAATCCGTATAGTCTTTTCAAATCTTATAAATTCTATTAAAATCCAATCTTATAAAATTTTTATTGTAAAAAAGTCTTTTAAAAAAATCTCCAAAGTGATTACAATTCTATATAATCTATTAAAATCTATAAAAAAAAATTTAGGGTTCATTTTTTTTTCAGTCACTGTAGATAAGTTATCTGCAATAAGCTATTGCAATACGACGTTGTTTTGGCCTTTTGGGGCGGAAATCATGGTGTTTTTATAATTTTAATTTATTTTAGGATTATTATAGTTTTTATAATTATAATTTTGTAGGATTCGCTTTTTCTGCGGTTACTGCAGACAAGTTATCTGCAGTAAGCCTAATACGACGTCGTCTTGGGGCAAAAATCATGATATTTTTGTAATTTTAATTTATTCCAGGGTTATTATAGTCTTTATAATTAATTATTTAATTTTTTAATTCCAAAATAACATCGTTTTGGGAGTAAATGCAGATAACTTATCTGCAGTAACTGCAGAAATATTATTCTGAATTTTTTAATCTTTCAATCCGAAGACGACTTCATCTTGAGAGTAAATATAGATAACTTAATGCGGTAATTGCAGAAATATTTTCATGTTTTTTTCATCTCAATATAATCTTTTAAAATAATCCTAATATAATGCACCAAAAAATAAAAAATAAAAGCGCGAGTGAAGTTCAGTGTTCAAATTTCTTGAGCAAGAAGAAAAAAGAAAAGTGTCTGCGATTAATTGAATAAAAAGGGGAAGAAGAGGTTGGTTTCGTAAGAAGGTGAATCGAATCGAATAACAACAATGTTCAGGAACCAGTACGACACGGACGTAACGACATGGAGCCCAGCGGGGAGGTTGTTTCAGGTGGAGTACGCCATGGAGGCTGTGAAACAGGGCTCAGCCGCAATTGGCCTCCGATCCAAAACTCACGTGGTTCTCGCGTGCGTCAACAAGTCAAACTCCGAACTCTCTTCTCATCAGAAGAAGATCTTCAAGGTTGATGACCACATCGGCGTCGCCATCGCCGGCCTCACCGCCGACGGCCGCGTCCTCTCTCGCTACATGCGATCTGAATGCATCAACCACAATTACACCTACGAGTCTCCCCTTCCCGTTGGTCGACTCGTCGTTCAGCTCGCCGACAAGGCCCAGGTCACTCACTACTCTTCCATTTTACTGCATTCCAAGCTAGGGTTTTTTTTTTTTTTTTTTTTTTTTTAAATATTGGGTTTTTAAGAAATGGGTACTCTCGTATAAAATGAACTTGGAAGCAATTAAGTGATCTTAACCTAATGAAATTTAAGGGTTAATACTTTTTGTTTGTGAGCTTTTTGAGACATTTGCGTTTTAGAGGAGGTTTTTTTTCCTGAGGTGTATGAGATGGTGTTTTTATTGTGTTATAGGTTCCGTTTTCCATTTCCTATTTTTTTTCTCCTGGATTTGACAATGATTAGAATGAGACTAGGATTGCAATATTTGATTTTGATGTTATTGGGAATCATAATTTCTTAGGAAGTTGCTAACTTTCCTTTATGCTTGGTATTTTTGTGGCGGAGTTTCAAGTTGTTCTATGTGGGTGCAATATACTTTAATTGTTCGATGTTTAGATCTGTCTCTTATTTTTGAATTTTTGATAAATTGAATGCCTTGAGGCTTGGGGTTGTTAGTTGGTTGATTCTTTGTTAGTGGGCTAAAGAGGGTAAGCCTTAGAGCAAGTGGTAAGGTTGACCAGAAGGACATGGCCTCAGTTTTAGGAAATAGTCTCTTTTCAAAATGCAAGGGTAATGTTGGGAAAGATCGACCCTCACCTCAACCCTTGCAAAGTTGGGGAGTCTTTATGCACAGGGGTTTGCCCCTTTCTTGCTTAACAATGTTTGGCTTCTGACACTGCTAACATTGATTATATCAACTTTGACGAAATGATTTTTGAGCTTTGTGCTGTTATTTGACATTACCTTGCAAGTTATGGCAGTAGTGAGATAAGTGTTGTGTATTCTCATGTGCGGCTTTTTTTTTTTTTTTCTTCCCTTCATTTTCTACTTTGTAAGTATCATAAAATGTAAAAGCTGTCTTGATACTGGGACTGTTTGCTAATTTAGGTTTACTCTAATTTATATGAACAAAGTTTTTCAAATTGGAATGAGTTCATGCTTCTGTATGAATACCAAAACAAAAAGCTGGATCTGTGTATAGACTTGTTTAAATCTAGATTGTCATGTTTGGTAATTGCCATATGAATGTACTTGCAATGGACCTCAGAGTAAGTTATGGGAAATGAAGTTTGATATCTCACTGATCTTTTTTGGTTCTCCGTGTATAGTGGAGGCTTTGTAACTGTGTTCTTAAATATGAAATGACTGAGTAATTGAGTATGTATTTTCATTCTTTAATGTATCAAGAACTTCTATTCTTTCTAGCTTTCGAGGATGTTCATGTATTAAGGAAACTGTGGGGCATCATTCTGTGGGTTATAGATATTAAATAAATGTGATTGGGTCCAATTCTAACATATATGTTTAAAACTCAGTGTCATAGTTATTATGTCATGCAAATCTATGGTGAGGTGGCTGTTTTATGAAGTGAAGTGGAACATGATTATTGTTCTATTCAATGTAACTGGCTTGAAAAAGACCTAGTTGATTAGAGTTCAAGTTATCTTATGGTTTGAGTTAATCAAAGAAACCTGTATTCGATTCGGTTTTTCTTTCTGGGGCTGACAGATCTTTCAGTAGGTAGGAACAGAAAGTATGCCGAACAACACTTTTATTAGTAATACCCCCCTCCATTTGTTTGTTTAGTTTCTTGAATGTAGTTTACTTTATGCAAGACTGATTGGGTCATTTTACAATGAACAAAAACATTGGATTAGCTAATCGGCATTTTTTTTTTTTAATGATATACAGTTATACTTGTGTTTTAGTAGTAGAAAGTTGGATGGATGGGGTATGGGAGGCAAAGCTTGTGTTTTTGTCTGCAGAATTTAATAGTGGTATAGTACTGAAAAGATCTATTTCTCATCAGTATTTGTGGTGCAATTTTGAGTGACAGGTTTGCACCCAGCGATCATGGAAACGTCCTTATGGGGTTGGTCTCCTGGTAGGTGGACTCGATGAAACAGGAGCTCACCTCTATTACAACTGTCCGAGTGGAAGCTATTTTGAATATCAGGCCTTTGCAATTGGGTCTCGCTCACAAGCTGCAAAGACATATTTGGAACGCAGGTTTGAGAACTTCATGGGTTCCTCACGGGAAGATCTGATCAAAGATGCACTTATTGCAACTAGGGAATCCTTGCAAGGTGAAAAGCTCAGAAGTTCTGTGTGCACAGTTGCTGTGGTTGGAGTTGGTGAGCCATTCCACATTTTGGATCAGGAAACTGTTCAACAGTTGATTGATGCTTTTGAGATTGTGAAGGAGGAAGAAGCCCCTCCTGCTGAACCTCAGCCAGCAACTGAGTTGGAGGCTGCCACAGATCAGAGTTCTGGTGCAGATCAAGGTGGTGCTGAAAACCAAGGTGGTTCTCCGATGGATATTTAATGATTTAAGATTCAGTTCTGAAGGTGTTAAAAACAGATATTTTAAGATGAGTAGGTTTCATGTTAAGTGTGTCATGGGAGAAGATTTCTCTTTGATGGATTTTCTTTTCTTAATCTTGTTTATTTCTGCAATTCATACATGGCTGTTCATTGTAAAGGATTTAACGACTGCGCTTGATGGACTTGAACGCAGAATTTACAATATGTTCCAAGGTACAACTTACAAAAATTCAGGGTGAAAAATGTTGGGCAAACTGGTCAAGCTTCATTTTTGTTATGCGTAACACTATTTCTTAAATTTTGAAAATCTGGCTAGGCCACTGTGCTTTAATGTTTGCATAAAATTTTGTTCTGTTGGTGCTATGTATTTTTTCGATTTTGGGAGGTGAACTCAATCGATTTTGGGAGATCTTAGTTTTTCAATGCTAGTGAAATATTAAGACTTCAAAAGTAAAGGTGGTAATTTTTTTTTTTTTTGATAAACAAAGGTGGTAATAAAAGTTGATGCATCATGGTATGAATTTAAGAATTTGCATCATGGTATTAATTTAGTATGAATATGAATCCACTAATTTGAATATGATATAAATTTTTTTTTGAACATGATTTGTAAATTTTATGAGTTTACATCAAAGGATATGAATAACTTGTAAATTAAAATTATGAGTTCTGAATATTGACACGATTTATTTTTTATGCAGATTGACGCTGTATGACATGCAATAAAGAGTCAAAATGGTAATTAAAAAAGGTCAAAATGATAATTTAAAAAAAGTATTGCCGTACATGTCGACATACGATATTATACAAATTTTGTATATTATATTTTGCTAATACAAACACGAGGTGAATTACTCGAACATAAATTTCCGTATCATATTGGTGTCATGTAATGTATTGGTTCAAGAATTGTTATGTCTATTATATTTTATAAATTTAAATTTAAATTTAATTATTTGACGACAAATTCTTAAAGTAAATAATCGCATAAAGTATGATATTTTACCGAATGGAAAATAAAAATAAAAATTAGCGAGCAACCTAATCTTGGAGAATTTTACATGTCATAAGCTCAATTAACAGTTAAGAAAATTGAATCAATCATGAGTTTGGTGATGCTTTAAATTAACCCAATAATGACAAATCATACATGCATCAAGCTCAAATACATTCGATGCTCAAATCTACTAGTGTTGTTTCCTATGAAAATGTCTAGCGTTCCATGCATCAGTCAAACTAGTTGAGACAATTTTCTATCAATGAGACAATTCAATCGGAGTCATCAGGCGGAGGAAGAACCTTTATCCACATCTGCTCGTACATCCACCGCAAATTCTCTAATGTGACTTCACCGCCAAGAGAGCGAATAGCAGACTAAGCAGTGCATGCGCCCACTTCGCAGCATTTATCTTTGTACCGCGACGTTTATTCCCATTGGTGGAGAGTGGTGGCCTTTCTTAGGCTGTATCACAAGTAAGATGCCTAGAATTAGACTAGCCCTTGTAAATGTCACTATAAGTTGGTGCTGTCTTTTAGTCATTGGTTAATGTGATAGTCAAGTGGCTATGAGCAGTTGATCTTGCTAGATCCTGCTAGTGGATGTCAGCTGAGGACACAGGAGATGTCTTTGTCTTTTACTAATAAATCTTTGGTGCTACTGTTGCATAAAGATTCAGTGCATTCCACCAATGAGAGCATTACACATTATAAGAGAGAAAACATTTGGCAAAAAAAAAAAACTTTAACTGACATGTAATATTTCTATTGGTGGGATATACTGAATCTTTGGTGTAACAGTAGCACCAAAAATTTATTCATCTTTTACACATATTCTTCATGGTTAAGCAACAATTCATGAGCCTATTGGGCCTTTCCTGGAATGGGCCTCTATCTCGCATGGTGTTGGTCCAGATCAAATTGCAAAGCTATCAATATAGAGCTTGCTTAAACTACACATACAAGACAACAGGGGTTGGCTTACTGGTTGATAGATCATAATTACATGAATTGGGTTTCTAATTCAGAAATTTCTCACAAAGTCTTGAAGTTTTAACTCACTCTTCTTACACTTTTTCTATAGTCACCACTTACTGGACAACAGTGGAACCCCATTTTTCTGAACAGCTGAGAACATTCCCACCTTTTGTCTAAGCATGAAGCAATCATTATCCAACAGAGTTTTCAGAACATTAAGTTTAAAAAAAAGGTGACGCATATGTGCACAAATCACAACGAAGATAAAAGCAAAGCCGCAAGTGTCCTCTTATCATAATAATTTTAACGGGAACTTATGAACTAAGTAACAACCAGTAATGTCTCGAACATGAAGATCAAGAATAAACTTGCACGTGAAATTCACTTGCATTAGATACATCAAACATTAATTATCCACATACACGATCCTTCAGGGCAATTACCTTCTCCAAAGTACATAACAGAATTTGAAATATTATGGAACGAACCATTCCTAGGGCTGGAAAGGAGTCATATTCTAGCCTAGAACATGTCTGGTATTATTGGGAATGAAAATAATCCCTCTTCCATGCATTTGAAAAAACAAAAATATCCTTGATGTCATTTCAAGGTTGGAAATGAAAGACACAGTTCTTTTAAAGATCTTATATTTTAGAAACCTTAGCTTGTTTATCAGGTAGGACATTATCTGGAAGAATAAGCTCTGGAGGGATCTCCCGGACAACACCCAACATTGAGTCATACTCCTCGTCTTTTCTTGCAAACTTCTTCCGCAGCACCTTCTCAAACTCAATTTCATCAAAGGACTTTGCATTTTCAGCTGCATGGACCTGGGCAAGATTAGTGTAATTGGTGGCTGACTGAGAAATAAAAGATATCTCTTCATCAGTGAGCTTCCTCAGGAACTTTGCCGGATTGCCTCCCCAAACCTGCAAAAATATTCAAGTTTGTGGTGACAGATCATGGATGATGCACATTACAAGTAAAAACAGCATTCAAGAAGAGCAGCTTAACTACAAGATAAATCTCTAGTCCATGCAAAAACTAGAAACAAAACTAAGAAGTGCTTTTCGTCTCATGATTCCCATTTGGATGGTTTTTTTTTTGTCTAAAAGCTGTTTTTTTTCAGAAAAAAAAAAACACTTCTCAGTATGGATGCCTGCTTTTAAAAAAAGCAGAAGTCATAAAAAAAAAAACCTACTTTTTTGGAAGCTAAAATTTTAGTTTATAAAAAAAGCAGAAGTCAAAAGTTAAATATTTTTTTCAAAAACTAAATAGTTTTTAAAAAATCTAAATAACTTTAACTTTTGTAAAAATAACTTCTAAAATAAATAAGGCATAAAAAGCACTTTTTTTGAAAGCCCATCCAAATGGGTCCTAGTATTAAAGAGCAAAGGTTATTATATTTGAAAGTAGAGAGGTGCTATTTGTGGCAAACCCCTTTTTAACGAATTAGTTCACAAAGCCGGCAATACACAGAGTAGTTGATTAATAATAATAATAATAATAAAGAAAACATCCTATTTCACGAAACACAGCTACTTAGTCTGTTTTTGTTGTTTTGTGTACCATTTTACAAAAACAGTTTCATGACATCAAGCATTTTCCTTGAAACAAAATCCACTCACTCATAGTAAGGGTAACATCTTCAGATCCTACAATAGCTTCAGTTTCTATGCAAACAAACATAATATGGTAATTTCCAGATATTAACAGACATAACAGCCTTTCAGAATGATAATTAGAAATATATATTTTATTGAGCATGAATCTTACAATAAAAACCATAAGCAGGCAGAAAAACTCATGTAGTTGAAGTGATCAAGAAATACTTTAATTCATGAAAGGATGTAATAATCAGGACATTAGTTGGAAGTAAAAATTAAGAAAAATGGTCTAGGATGATGGATTAGGGTCTAGTCCATAAGGGTGAGGGTTTAGAACCAGGGTCACCCCATAGTGGAAATTAGTTTTCTAGTTGTCGGTGGTGGTGCAGGGAGATAGCAATAAATAAGGTTTGAAACATAAAAGGTGAGATCAAAGTTAGAAGAATATACAATTATCGCGACACCTGCATACATTCTAGTGTTAATATCCTATTAATGTAGGAAATAGCTTCACTTGGTAGGGAGAGCTCTCATGCCCTTGTAACACTTCACGACTTTAATCGGATTAGTCATCTGGTAATTGATGATCGGTGGAGAAATCCAAAAAAATAATAGGAAACATAATAAAATTAAAAAATAAAAGAAGGCATTATAAAAAGCTAACAAAAAAGAACTCTTCAAGAATATTCCTAACCCATAATAAATTGTATGACTATTGAAATTGTTCGTTTGGAAATTTCGCGAAAAGCTAAGGCGTAGTCGATGGACAACAGGTGAATATTCCTGTACTACCCCTTGTTGGTCCCGAGGGATGGAGGAGGCTATAATTCCACAATACTTATCCTAAAACTATGTAAATAACTACACAAAATCCCAAAAATAAATAAAAACCAACACAATTATAATTCATTCCCTTAACATAGATCAGTGGTATAGTATGTTAACAGTGGTAATTAATCCCAAATTCCAAACACAGACACAACAGCCTGGTTACCAGAACATGATCCTATCTCATTTATTTAATAAATAGCCAAACAGTATACACAATTACACACACAGACGTACCTCCCCAGATGGGATTCTTGCATTCTGTCTCACAAGGGCCCCAGCAGCAACCATGGCATGTTTCTCAACAAAGACACCATCAAGTAGTGTAGCACCCATACCAACAAAAGCCTCATCCTCAACAGTGCAACCATGTAAAACGGCACTATGACCTGCCCAATGCAAAATTTAACACCCATGAAGGGTAAAATGTAGCATTGTTCATGATCACGGCAAAAGTATAACTCACGGACTCACCGACAGTAACATTATCCCCAATAATAGTAGGCAACACCTTCCCACTTAAATTTGATTTTGCAACATGCACCAGGGAGTTATCCTGTATGTTAGTTCCACTTCCAACACTGATGCTGTTCACATCACCTAAGCATAAAGTGGAGATCAAACATGATTACCATGTATATCTACAAAACAGATACTCAAGAAAAATTCACCTTCAATTTATATTAGACGAACAGAGAAAAAGCAACTTTGTTTGTTGTATTGCAAATAGAAGAAAGCAACTGTATTGGACAGCTGTGTCTTCTATGATTTTGTGATAAGGGCAACCCCAATAGTTAAAAACACTAATGTTGGAAGAGTATTCCATAAATAGATCTTATTAGTTACTAAAGCATCAAATGGTAAACCAGTCAAAAGTTTTCATGTCGAATTAAGCAAATGAAAGACCTTACCTCTCAAAACACATCCATACCAAATGGATGATCCTCTACCAACTTGAACATCACCGATGACAGAGGCACTTGGAGCAACAAATGCATCTTTATCAACAACAGGACTCTTATCAAATATGTTCATCAGAGTTCGATGCCTAGACACTAAATACAAGAAGAAAAAAGATTACTTGATATATTTTATAGCAAGATTACCAAATCACAATTCAAATTGTGAATTGTCAAGCTAATTTTTGAATTGTGAATAGTATTGAATGAATGATGTATAATGCTCAATGCAATAATTTTAAAACAGAAACTAGGAATTAACAAAACAACTTAACAATAAGTCTCAAAAACAAAATCATAAGTCATAATAGAGTTACATAAAGTGATGAAGTTCATGTTTTGAAAGAATGAAAACAAAATAATGTTATAGCCAAATAAGATTCATATAGAGTGAACGAGTGACAGTGTGAAGCCCCTGTTTCAAACGTATGAAAACAAAGCAACGAAATAGCTAAATAGGATGCTTAGAGTGACTGAGGGATTGTGTGAACCCCTGTTTTAGAAGAATGAACAAACACAATGGAATGATCAAATAAGGTGCATTCAATTGTGTTCCTTTAGTTCCTTTTGATTTAACAACTTAAGCTTATTTGACTTTTGAATTTCTTTTACAAGAATTGATGAAAGAAAAGCAAAAAAGAAAAAATAAACTAACGACTCATCACTAGATCATATGATTTGTATTGGCGATATGGAATCTCACCGATTCATGAATGTATCGCATAATTCAAAGCCATATCACATCACCACATGACATCAATCACTGGCTTGGCAAATCATACCCAACAGTGCAATTTGAATCGGGAATTGTGCGATCTAACAACTATGTTTTATGACACAATGGAAAAACCAGTAAAGATAGCTCATTAACATATTTTTTCCGTATGCTAATTGATCAAGTGTTATTAAACCTCCAAAAAAAGGAGTTTTAAGTATTCTTAACATTTTAAAAATGAGACCAAGGAAACGAAATATAAACACTAAGAAGTCCTAGCAAGATAATGCACAAACAAATTCATACATCACTATTACATACCATTTCACATTTAAAATGCAACAAACAACACTATTTCAAAGTAAAACCCAAACCAACGAAGAAGGAATTATTCACTTACCAGTCTGTGACTACATATATAGTCACAGACAGAGAGCACTACCGCAAAGTGTAACAATGATAATCCTAAACGAGCCACATTTTAATATAAGGTACTCTTTTCCTAATATATTCAGCACAATTTTACCACACAAAGATTTAAATTGAACTCGATTATACATTTGACCTATGAGTATGACACGAACGATGATAATTACAAAGGGGAATGGTGAATTGAATAGGGAAATGGATCTAAAAGGAGAGACTAACGTTGCTCTTGGAAGTAGTAGTTTCCTTGGAAGCGTGAACCGAGGCGATCAATGGCTTGTCCAGTTTCTCGAATCCAGAATCCAACGGTGTATATCGCTTTCCCAAGAGTTCCCATTTCCGATTTCTGAATTTCAACCCAATCAGGGTTTTGAGCTCTCTGCAAGCTCTCTCAAGTCTCAACCTATGCTTCTTTTTGTTTTTGCTTTTGTGTGTGATGGAATCGAATCGAATCGAATCGAATGCGCAATCGAAGAGGCAAGTGGTAGAGGAACTGCGACCGAGCCTGAATAACCTTCTCTACTGCAGTTGCCTAGGGTAGTATATCCCGCTTACTGGGGAGGGTAAAATGGGGTTTTGCGATTTCCTTTCCGTTTTATCAAATTACTGATAAACCAGTTTAGTATCATGAAATAAAACACAAAGAAGTTCCATTGAATGTTAAAATTCTCATTAAAATTTTCACGGTTTGTTTTGTCGCGGAGAATTTTTTGAATACTATTACTAGAGAAATGGTTGGAAAGTGAGTTTGGTAGGAAAATATAAAAAAAATTGTTTGGTTGACCGAAATATTACTAAGAAAATTTATTTAAATTTGCAAAATCTATGTTCGAGAGAAACTTCGTAACTATTTTTTCACTTCTCCAGTTATCTCAAAATACCACATCTCATGTGGTATTCTGTAACAGTGAATTTCATCCAAAAATCAACACAAAAGTTATTTTCACATCTATCCTATTTGTCTAGTATTTTTTTCAAAAATCTAGACCAAACATGATATTTTTCAATATCCACTTACACTTTTCCATCAATCACAAAATAAATCTTCTACCAAACACTACCAAAAAAGAAAAGTTCATAAAGCAACCTTGGTTTATTTTTTATTACTTATATCTCAATATTTTTTTCTTATCAATTATTCTCTATAATTTTTTTCTATCCATGTTTACTTTTAACATTTTTATTAATTGAGTTAACTTATCCATTTTATCCTTATTTCATAACACTGTTATTTTATCATTTGAGTTGTCTTTAATTTTTGAGTCAAACAACCCAAATTGAACTTGTTTGCAACGTGAATTGAAATCCGTTATGATTTCTAACTTTAATTTTCATAAAAATAAAAATAAATTAACCATTGCCTTGCAATCAAAATCCTTTTATGAAACTCATCTGGAATAATATTGTAATAACACAATGTTCAAATTAAAAGCCTTCACTACTAAAAAAGGATGACAGTCAATGTAGGTTGTAACCTCATCTCATCAAGCTCCATAATAATAAAGGGCTACATGACAACAAGCTCCTCAATATTAAAGTAAGCTCATCAATATTAAATACCATATCTTTCTGAATACTTCATCTCTAAGTATACCTCACCACTTGCAAGCTGATCATCTCTCAAGCTGTTCATCTCTCCACTATAAATATATACATGTTAACACAAAGGTACATATCTTCTTCCACATAATTAAAACCTGCTTGAACCAAATCTGACTTGAGCGTCGGAGTGTCTTGCAGGTACACTTCCATCTTGTTTCATTGAAGACCCATGGATTAAAGCTGCTCAATTGCAAGATGCTCTAACTCAAGGTGATTCCAAGCCATTTGTGTAGAAAAAGATCACTTGATCGCCCAATTATAAAACCGGTTCTGATAAAAAACATAATCAAAAACTAAAAAACGCAAGGCAGAGGTATCATATGCCTGATACCAAGTGATAGATATAAGACTCAAACTATCTAGTTATGTTTCTTATAACTAAATATCAATTAGATTAACGCACAATGATAATAATAATAATAATAATAATAAAAAAGGGATCAAAATCTGCCTTTGTCATTATTATATTTTTTTATTTCTCTGGATTTGGATTTAATGACTCTTCTAAATTATCTTGGCGGCAATTATGTGCAGCTTTTAATAGTAAGAGTCTTTGATTTGATATGAAATAAAGATCAAATAACTAAAGGATGGTAGTTCAGTTAGTATTAAGGAACTGAGCATGTGCGGGGTGAGAACATGTATTTAATTCTCTCTAGTATCATCTTTTGGAAGAATTTAAAGTTTTAATCTCAAACCCGCTACGAATCGGACTAGTCGTAAAATAATAAATCGATTGAAATATTAAAAAAATAAATAAAGATGAAACAATGTTCGGTGTGGAGTTGACAGTTTCTAAATGAGCAAACTTTTAACTTATTCATTGGTTTGTTAGCAACGAGGGAGAAAATAACCATACACAATGCAACGTGATCTTACATAAAGAAGTTCTATTGTTATATGAGTAATCTCCTAACTGAAATATTAACATAAAATGAGGGTAAAATAGGTAAGTTATCTTAATTATTAACAGTATTAAAGGTGAATTTAAATAAAAAAATCACAGAAAAATAATTGATAAGATGAAAACATAAGGGTGTAAATCACAAAATAATAAACCACAAGAGTCTTATGAACTTTTCCTTTTAGTTTTTATTTTTAACAACTTGGTCGGAGAATAAATGCATAACTTTTTTTTTTTTGGTAAACAATCCACAACTTTTTTAAACGTTAATGACATAGAAGTTTTTTTTGAAAAATAAATAAATTGGTCTTTACTTTATGTGTGTATTTAGACCTAACTTTTGAACAAAAAAACAAAAGTCACACAAAAGTTAAAATGGTATTTTTATAAGTTAATATTTTTTTACTTTTAAAAACAGTGAAAGTAATATTATTTATTTAAAGATGTTCTTTAAATATTAATCCCTCAAGGCTTCTTTAACCATTGTTCTTTTAAGGATTGGATGTCTTCTAACCTGAACCTAAGTAACAGATCAAGGAGGGATTGGAGGGATTGTTTTTTTAAATTTTTGCAACTCTTTGTGGATTTGGAGAAATAAGGAACTTCATGAAGAGAATTTCAAGAGACCGGATAACCCTTCTCTAATTATTTCTGAGTTTATAGAGGAAATCAGGTATTGTAATAAGAATAGAAATCTAGTCTGTTCTGGTTCGAATCCCTCATGCTCTCATTTGCTTTCTGCTTGGACGGCTCCTCATTGTGGTTTTCTAAAGCTGAATGTGGATGGGGTTGCTCTTATCAACAAAGCTGCGTGTGGTGGTCTTTTAAGAGACTGCAAGGGTGCCTGGATTAGTGGTTTTTCTGCATTCATAGGTTCTTGCTCTCCCTTTCAAGCTGAGCTATGGACCATTCTCTATGGTTTAACTTTCGTTTGGAATTTGGGATAGAAAAGTATATTGTTGGAATCAGATTCTCTTCAAGTTGTTAGCCTTCTTACCAATATTGGTAATGATACTCGAGAGCTTCCGTTGGTAACTAAGATTCGAGATTTTCTCAATAAAGATTGGACTGTTTTGGTGAAATATGTTCCTAGGATCTGCAATGAGTGCGCAGACAGGATTGGAAAAATGGCACTACATGACCCCCCGGCCTTCGTACTATTTCTTCTCCTCCAAAGGAACTAATTAATTTGCTTGCTGCTGATCTTCTAGATCCAGGTTTGGTGGCTGCTACAACCAACTAAAGATTCTAGTCTCCAGTTTCCCTGAGCTGTGCAGGGCTTCTTTCTGTCGTTTTTTCCTTCTGTTTTTATGTCTTTTTGCTATCTCTGTTTGTATTGGGGCATAGCCCCTTATGGTTATAAAAAAGAGAGAAAAAAACAAACTTAACGAAAAATAGAATATTTAAGTTAATTTGACTTGGAAAAACTACAAACCAGGCCAATCAGTTGTTAAAATAGCTTACAGCAATTGGTTGAGTTCGGTTTCCTCATCTCCCAATAGCTGTTGGGACAGAATTTGGAATTGAAAAGGGAAAGAGAAGGTGAAGTTCCTCATGTGGAAGATGTTGCATGAAAGATTGCCAACCAAGGAGCTTATAGCCAAGTGGAGTGGTTCCTTGAATGCTTGTCCCTCATGCCCTGTAACAGTGGAGACTTGCCTTCATGTATTCAGAGACTGCCCAAAAGCAAAAAAGGTTTAGCTCCTACCTTTTGTGCAACCCCTTCCTCAAGGCTTCTTTAACCATTGTTCTTATGGATTGGATGTCTTCTAACTTGAACCTAAGTAAATGATCAAGGAGGGATTGTTTTTTTAATATTTGCAACTCTTTGTGGATTTGGAGAAATAAGGAACTTCATGAAGAGAAATTCAAGAGACCGGATAACCCTTCTCTTATTATTTCTGAGTTTATAGAGGAAATCAGGTATTGTAATAAGAATAGAAATCTAGTCTGTTCTGGTTCGAATCCCTCATGCTCTCATTTGCTTTCTGCTTGGACGGCTCCTCATTGTGGTTTTCTAAAGCTGAATGTGGATGGGGCTGCTCTTATCAACAAAGTTGCGTGTGGTGGTCTTTTAAGAGACTGCAAGGGTGCCTGGATTAGTGGTTTTTCTGCATTCATAGGTTCTTGCTCTCCCTTTCAAGCTGAGCTATGGACAGTGGCGGACCCAGAAAAATTTGTTTATGTCCGCACATTTAGTGGCGGGTGCTCCCAAATTTTTTTTGTAAAAAAAGTTTAAGTTAACGCTTAAACTCGCTCATAATCTAGTTGCTTCCATAACAAGCTGCAGGCAATATTTTGACCCATCATTTTTTCTCTTAAATCTTACCAATCCTCCAAAACAAATATGAAAATATACTTAAGTACATCCATACATCATCATCCTATTCTATTTTATAGTGGTGAATAAAAAAGTCAACACTATTTGTACAGAAGACAAGCAAAATCACATTGAAGGCCTTGTCTAGAAAGGAAACAAAGGAGATGAAGAGAGCGTGAGAATGGGTACATGGTAGGGGAGGAAGAGAGCGTTGCTACGTTATTTTAATCATCTCCGTACGTTGCTAACTAATATAAGAATAAATATCATTTTTGGTCTCCAACAAAAAATTCGGTACTCACTTTAGTCTATTATAAAAAAAAATAGTTACCTAGTCCTTATGAAATTTAAAGTGAACTCATTTTAGTCTTTTTGAGTAACTAATGTAGGTCTTTTTTGAATTAGTGAGGAACAACGATTTTAACTAAATTGATTCACTTTGAATTTCGTAGGGACCTCGAGACTAATTTTTGATAAGAGACTAAAGTGGGGACCATGTTTTTTATTAGAAACTTAAAATGATATTTACTCCTAATATAAATATTGAATCAACATACAAATAAATACCTACAAAGCTAAAAAAAAAAAAAAAAAAAATCCAAAATTTTATGTGGGCACTTGCGGACATTTGCCCATGGCTGGGTCCGCCAGTGGCTATGGACCATTCTCTATGGTTTAACTTTCGTTTGGAATTTGGGATGGAAAAGTATATTGTTGGAATCAGATTCTCTTCAAGCTGAAGCCTTCTTACCAATATTGGTAATGATACTCGAGAGCTTCCATTGGTAGCTAAGATTCGAGATTTTCTCAATAAGGATTGGACTGTTTTGGTGAAATATGTTCCTAGGATCTGCAATGAGTGCGCAGACAGGATTGGGAAAATGGCACTACATGACCCCCCTGGCCTTCGTACTATTTCTTCTCCTCTAAGGGAACTAATTAATTTTCTTGCTGCTGATCTTCTAGATCCAGGTTTGGTGGCTGCTGTAACCAACTGAAGATTCTAGTCTCCAGTTTCCTTGAGCTGTGCAGGGCTTCTTTCTGTCATTTTTTTCCTTCTATTTTTATGTCTTTTTGCTATCTCTGTTTGTATTGGGGCATAACCCCTTATGGTTATCAAAAAAAAAGAAAAAAAAAAAGAAAAAGCAAAAATCAAACTTAACGAAAAATAGAATATTGAAGTTAATCAATTGGTCCTAAAAGGATTATATAATATAATAAATAATGTTTGAATTAAGTTAGAATAGTGCTAACTGAAAATAATATAAACAAACCGTTTAACGTAATTTTTTGGTTTTTCAAAGTATCTTCCCACCGACAGTCGAAGACTAATCCTTTCGAGGCGGGAGATCACATTAAGTGGGTAAATCTCTCCCAACAAAGCCTTTTCCATATGCACGGTCAGGGATCGAACTCCTGTCAGCATACTTAAGGAACCCATCTATCTACCAACTGTGTTGGACTTTGTTGGTACCGCTTAACGTAATTTAGTTACGTGAGATTGGTAGAGAATCTAATGAAAAAAGTTCGTCAAATATTTTTTTTTTTTTAAAGAATAGGAAAAGAAATTGAATAAAATTAGGTTTAGTTTTTCGTTAGCATTTTTATTGTATTACTTATGGGTTAAAACAATAATAATAAAATCATCCCTTAACTTTATATAATTCCCTCGCCCAATTATTTCAAACTTACCCGTAACTCGAACTAGCTTTTATTTTGTTTGGCCTAATACATAAAAAGGATCCATGTTTTTTAAGTGTATAGATAATTTTACATGAATGTTTCAACGGCCGCTACATAAATAGCTACGCAGTCCAATGATTTTGATCACATAAAATACCACATAGCTCAGCACTATAGACCACATGACGTAATCTAGTTGCACTGCATAGCTAGTTACGTGGTCAATCAGGTGGTGCTATGTGACCAATCTTAACTCACCACATGGCATAACAAGACTAATGATGTGTCACTTAAAAATGTCTGTGGCATTCTGATAATATTTTAGGTAAAGAGTGGTAATTTGGTCGTTATCCCAAAAAAAAAAAGCCTGGAAGTGAAGTCTGAACCATGGTAGTTAAAATTGAAATTTTATCTAAAATCGGAAGGAGATAAAAAATTATAAAACGTGAAATCCTAACGTGAAAAAAATTGTAAAATCGTAAAAGCATTTAAAATTTTGATGAAATTGTTTTGATTAAAAAAAAATCGTAAAATCGTAAAAAGCTATATTTAAATTGAGATTTTAAGTATACTATCAACCATGGCAATGGAAAAACACAAAGCAGAGCTGCTCTAGGCGAAGAAGAAAAGGAGAACGACGACCACCAACCACCTGTTCCACGCGACGTAGAGGTTGGACCTGACAACTCCATCACTGCTGTTGCGCCTATTCGAGAAGAAGACAGTTCCACGTCTTAGCTTTTTCTCGCGCTGCCTCCAACAATAACGGTGCTGTCAGCTACGCGAGAGAGTGAGGCATCTCCAACTCCTTCGTTTGGCGGCGGTGTTTTCTCCCCGCCTCTATCATTTCATCATCATCATCATCTTCTCTGTAAGATTTCTCCCCGCCTTATTCTGATTACGGTTATTACTTTTTAGTCTGTCTACGAAAGAGGCATTTTTTCCCATTTGGGTATTTCGTCGAGCATCTGGCGCATACGAAATATATAGATGTGATGTGCATTAGTATGATAGTTGTTGAGAAGCTGTTGCACTTTATTTGAAGAGGGTTGGGGTTGAGGGGAATCGTGTCTCTTGTTCAGTTCAAATTGACAACTCCAACTGAAGTGCAATAGTAGTTGTGTGTCAAGTTCCTCTGAACCTCAGCTAGCCATTTATAGTGATGTAAATGTCCAAGATTACTTTTCAATTTCACTATATCAATTGATCCAGCTTTGTGCACATTAAGTTAGTGAGATTGAATCATGATATTGAATAATATCCTCTGGTCACAGCGGAATATATTAATCTGTTGTTTTGGAAATGGCAATGGTGAAGATTGGGGTAGGTTGAAGGAACATAAATCATGAAAGGCGACAAGAGCTATTGTTGTAGATTTGTGATAGATATTAAATGTTTAAGGACGAGACAAATATTATATGATTGTTTGATCTTTTGTGGGACAATGGTGTGTGATTTATTGTTTTTTATATTAGAATATTTGGAATTGGTATCATTCTGTACAGGTATTTGAGTATGTTTATAGTTTTTTTATTATAATTTATCGATTTGCATATCCTTACCGGGTCATGTGGTTTAACCAATGACCCAATACCTCGACCGGATCAATGGCCGGGTCGAGTTTAATAACATTGTATTTAATAATAAGAAAAACAAAACCACTTGGTGTTATACTTGAAAGCTGAAGTTTGCATCGTCTTAGGAAGCATAAGGGTTTGCGTCATGCGGTCCAGTTCACTAGATCCTGAGTCTCGACAAAACCTTTGAAAATTTTGGAGACATTTTGTTGAATTAACAATTCTCTGTGAGTGTGAGCTGCAATGGTTTACATAACTTCGTGGGACGAGTTTGTTGACCGATCCATTCAGTTGTTCCGTGCCGATCCTGATTCTGTAAGTTACTTTCTTCTGCTTTTCAGTTTTTTAATGATGTTCTGTGCTTTAACTTTTGTCTGGTTACCGAGAAAATAGAACAAAAGCAAAATCAACACAACCAAAGACTATAAGTTATGTTATATTAATTTTTTTTTTACTGAAATAATTGTGGGGTTGAATTTGTGATATAGACGCGGTATGTCATGAAATACAGGCATTGTGATGGCAAATTGGTACTTAAGGTCACCGACAATCGAGAGGTACTAATTCTTATCTATTATTATTTTATGTACCTTTTGTTATGCTTGTGTTTAAGGGTTGAATGCCATTGTTTTCCTAGACTCACTTCATAATTAGGCGAATGTTAGTACGTGTTCAATTTTTGGAAGTATTGTGTTAGTAGAGAAGATACAGATAACAATATTCTGAAGGAAATATCTTACATGGTAATATTCTTACAGAAAATATATGGAATACAAGGATAATAAGTGACAACATCCAGATCATTAGAGAGGCTACCTGTCCCTCCCACTTACACACTTACAATCTGTCTAAAAACTGCCTACTTTCTGGTTATTCCTACAATTTGATACTCCTATGTAACTGTAATTATCAACTACACTACAGTAACTGTGCAATAACTGCATAGATCTGCTTATTAGTAACTGCATTCACATTTCTACATGGTGATTAACACATGATTGACCTGCTGGGAGGAGTCCAATCCTTTGCATCCCTTCCTAGTATAAACTCTTAATATAGGAGGCATTCCATCAATCCTTGCCCTCAAAACATTCACCTTGTCCTCAAGGTGAAAATCTGGAAATTGTTGTTGGATAGTAGATAAGAGTTCCCAAGTGTTTTCAAAAGAGGGTAAGGATTTCCCTGTAATTAGGACTTCAATCTGACCAGCAGCATTAGAAATGACCATTGTGCCTTTATAAAATAGTTCACCTCCTTGAAGAGTGAAATTTAGATGAGCTTGAGAGTTTATCAACAGATCCTGCATTATGCCCTGGAATTTGGAATCATATTGCAATTCTGCATTTAAGTCTTCTAAATTCAGCAACTTCACAATGGACAAAGCAGCAGCCATAGTATTCTCCTACCAAGTTGATAATGAATCTCAAAGTCAAATCCAAGTAATTTTGATGTCCATTTCTATTGTTCCTCCCTAAGAATTCATTGGTCATTACGATATTTTAAACTTCTTTGATCATTTTTTACAATAAAATGCCTCCCCACATTTTTGCACTGCGAGTACAATAGCCATGAGTTCTTTTTCATAAACCGATTTCTTTTGGGATGTATTTGAGAAGCATTGACTAATACAGGCTATAGACCTATTTTCCTGCATAAGAACAACACCAATACCTTTTCTGGATACATCAGTAGTGACAATAAATGTCTTGGTGAAATCCGGTAAAGCCAGAACCATACTGCTCATTGCCTTGAGAGTTTCAAAACCCATTTGTGCCTCTGCCCCCCATTGGAAACCATCGTTTTTGAGTAAATCTGTTAAAGGCTTTGCTAATATACCTTAATCACAAACAAACTTTCAGCAGTAACCAGTTAACCCAAGGAAACCCCTAGACCTTTGATAACCTTTGCAGTAGGCCAATTAAGCATAGCTTCTACCTTTTTTCGGATCAACCTGCACTACCTCCTTTGAAATAATGTGTCTAAGATACTCAACATGAGGTTGGCCAAAACAACACTTCTTATTTGCCACCAATTTATGCTCTCTCATGATTAGAAATACTTCGCTCAAAAGTCTAAGATGAGATTGAGGGGTCAGCACTGTAAATAAGTATTTCATCGAAGAACACCAAAGTTGACTTCCTTAGAAGAGGCTTCAACAAACCATTCATAAGACTTAAGAGTTTGAAATGTTGAAGGAGCATTGGTCAAACCAAACAGCATTGCTAGATATTCATAATGTCCCTCATTAGTGTGGAATGTTGTTTTGGGAATATCACTTTCTTTCATTCATATAACTATATTTCAAATCCAATATTGAATATATTTGAGAACCTCCTAATTCATCCAAAAGCACCTCAATGACTTGTATAGGAAATTTATCAGGGATTGTCTACTTATTCAAAGCTCTATAATCAACACATAACCTCCAGCCTCCATTTTGTTTTTTAAACCAATATGATAGGACTTGAATAGGGACTAATACTTGGTCTAACAATACTGTATGACAGCGTTTCATTCACCAATTTCTCAATTTCAGTCTTTTGGTAATGAAAATACCTGTAAGGTTGAATGTTTGGCACTTCTCCTCCTTCAAGTGTGATTACATGATCTTGTTTCGTAATAGGAGCTAATCCTTGTGGTGGTTGAAATATGTCTACAAACTCCAGTAGAAGTGCTTCAAGATCCTCCTATACTGTTGTGTTTACTTTGTCCCTGATGGGCCATGGGCCTAGTTAGTGAATTAGTTAGTTTGTTATGAAGCTATTCTAGAATATTCCTAAAGTATAGGATAAAGGATAGGCAGTGTGTGTAGTGTGGGTATGCATGAATTTAGAATTGGTTAGTGGAGAAATTTGGGGATACTCTGGGAGTTGAGGTCTCTAGGGGTTTATTTTCTGCATTTTATTTTGTAAGGAGCTTGGCTCCATTTATGTTTTCTGCAATTTCAGATTTATAAAAAAAGGGTTCCATCAGTCCCCTACAGGGTTCTATGTAGTATCCTTTGCCATCATTCTGCTATGCCTTCTTCAGAGCCTTAAATGAAGATTCTCTCTTTAAAACCACCTCTTCTCTTCCTTTTTCAAAATTTGAAGTTAACTCCTTAAGTTTTGCTTTGATATCCCCAAGACTCCTCAACCACTCAAGTCCTAATACCACATCAGCACCCCCCCCAAAACAAAAAAAAAACCTTGAACAGAAACAGATTCTGTTTAATATGAAGTCCCTGCAACAAAATAGAAACATCCTCACATGCTACTTGACAAGGTATTCGGTAGCCAGCCCCTACTTCAACATAATATTTTGGATTGTCAGTCACCTTGAGTCCCAATTTTTGAACTATATTTGTTCAAATAAAATTACTAAAAGCCCCACAATCAATAAGTATTATTATGACAATTGCTTCTTTATTCTTACCCCAAAGCTTCAAAGTTTGATTAGAGGTTGTTCCCTTCAGGCTATGAATGGACAACTGCAGTGTAGATTTTACTTGTTTGATATCAATAAAACTCTCTTAATTTGCTGGCGCAGATTGTTCGGCCTAAACCTCTCCATCATTGTTTGCATTTTCTCCCATCAATAGCACATGTATTTGCTGGGTTTTACAGCGATGACCAGGGAAAAATTTCTCATCACAACAAAAACACAAACCCTCCTGCATTTTGTCATTGAATTCTGCCAAAGATAGTCGTTTGGAAATTGGCCATGAATTGTTGGCAGTGCTTTCTGCTACTCTTGACGATAAGTAATTGCGATGGCTGATTGTTTGGGTTACTGGGCCAGCTGTAGTCCGGGCCATGGGGAATTGTTTAATTGGTCCAATTGATGTTTGGGTGTGATGGGTAGAATAGGTCACAGGGTTTGTTCAGCTTCCAGATCCAACCCAATTGTAATGTGCAGTTCCTGCTTCTCAGAAAGTTACGTTCTGTGCTTCAACGAGTTCTGCGAGATCCATTGGTTCCGTCAATTATGCAAGTCAGTGAACTTTTAGTTCTGCCCGGAGTTCTTTCGAGTCTATTCAACCAGGTTCCACGAAAAACATCTTTGTCAGCTAAGCGTAACAGTCTTGCAATCCTCTCAAAATCGTCGTGGTGTTTTGCCATTGGGCTTACTTGCCATAACCCCAAGAGCATTTCTTAGGGATTATCCGCCATTGGAACCAGTTGAGTGCTTTACCTTCAAGCACCAACATAACGGCTGGTAACTTTTCTCCTTTTGTTAGTGGATTCACACGAAAGTAGTGCTCTGCTCTGTTGAGCCAACCATATGGATCTTATCCTAAACCACCATAGTCTGTACCAAGTCCATCATGACTCAGAGTAGGTCCACCTTCGTGCATTCTGGATTCTCCTCGTTGATCTTCATGTTGCAAGATTCCTCAAAGGAGTCGAAGCACCTCCACTTTAGTTTCCTCCATTTGGCGAAGATGAGATTCATGTTTTGTAGTCTATTGTGCAATCTTGTCTTTCAATACTTCAAAATGAGATTCCATTCTGTGAATGGTTACTTTCAAAAGCTCCCCTGGATGGGAGCTCTGAATATGATAGGAGAGAAGATATAGATAACAATATTCTGAAGGAAATATCTTAAATGGTAATATTCTTACAGAAAATACATGGAATACAAAGATGATAAGTACAGCATCCAGAACATTAGAAAGGCTACTGGTCTCTCCCACTTACACACTTACAATCTGTCTAAAATGTGCCTACTTTCTGGTTATTCCTACAATTTTATACTCCTATATAACTGCAATTATCAACTACACTACAGTAACTGCACCATAACTGCATAGAACTGCTTATTAGTAACTGCATTCACATTTCTACATGGTGATTTATGCATGATTGACCTGCTGGGAGGAGCCCAACCCTTTGTGTCCCTTCCTAGTATAAATTCTTACTATAGGAGGCCTTCCATCATATTGAAATCAAGACAAGTGAATCCTACAATGTAGCTTCTTCCCCGGTGGAATGTGATGGATTTTATGGGTAAAGACAGAGAAATGCAGAACTGGTTTCAACATTCCAAATTGTAAATGCCCTCTGAGGAGATGTTCAACAGAGCCCTAAATACCTTGCCGCTTGTTTTCATTAATCAAATTAAGGATACCCATCAATATGTTTATTGACCAATACTACCCATCCATTTTTTTACTAGTGAATGCTCCTTTATGGTTATGATATGACTCTCTCTTCCTTAGAGTTTCAATTTACATGTACTACAGCTGAGGAATTGTTCCTTCCGTATTTAGCATCTAGATTTGAACAAGTAAAACGAATGCTAGAAAGTCACTGTTGATTGGTGTTGTTCCTACATCCTTGGGCAAGTTGCTAAGTGTTAAAATACACAGGATAACGTCCACTTGCTGAAGGCCAGCCAGAAACAACATCACTATATGATATATTTTACTTGTTTTTTGGTGAACTAATCCTTAATAGGGATGTATGTAAATTGAAGGTTTTTGTAGGATGCTAGTTTGGTCATGAGCACTGCTGATTTATCTGTTCTTTTCTCTTTTCAAACTTTAAACATATTATGATATCACACCATTGTATGCAAATATGGAAAGTAAAGCTTGGAAGCATTGTTAATCGTTTAGATGATATTCAAGTTAAGACACCATGTTTGTTCAAGGTTGTGTTATGTTAGAGAATAATATAAACCATTAAAAAGGCCATCACTCAACAGCTTAAGCTTTTGGGTTGAATTGATTCTTTTCATGGTATGAGAGCTTAATTGACCATGAGGTTACAAGTTCAATCCTCATCACCCTCACTTTCTAGTGGAATTAAATAAAAGCACAAGGTAAATAAAAAATTGGGCCTGTGCAATATCTACGCTTCAAGTCCAAAGGGCTCTTGTGTGAGGGGATGTATTAAAGAATAATATAAACCATTAAAAAGGTCATTACCTAACAGCTTAAGCTTTGGGTTGAATTGGTTCTTTATATATTATATAGGGTCATGAGGTCATTGAACAGTAGTTAAACGGTTTGATTATTTACCATGGGTTTTGCTGCTTCCAAGCATATATCCATTTAACTTTTTATAAATAATAATTTCAAAAGTCTGTGTCTGAGTCATGGCATTGGGATGATATAAATCTGCTAAATAGCTTCTATCTGTAGTAATCTGTATATTTATTACTTCCAAATTTTTATATTCAAAATATATATTTTGAGTTATTGCATGTAAGGGTTCTGGTTGCAAGGCTTCCCCACCCCCCAAACCTTCAGATGATGAATAGTAGTTAAACCCAGAAACAGGAAAATATTGTAACTACATATTCATTTGATGCTTATTTTTTCACTCCCCCCCCCCCCCCCCCCCCCCCCCCCCCCCCCCCCCCCCCCCCAAAAAAAAAAAAACCCCCCACCCACAACATCCTCTCTTCTTCCTCCTCTTCATTTGACTGATAAACTGAAGAGTGAAGACAGATTAGGCTCTAGGTTACCCTGTTACACCAACAAACTGATGATTTATATGGCATCTTATGCCTTATACTAAGGATGATGGCATGCTGCTATCTCTAGGAATCTCCACTAGCGAAGGAATTAATTCAGTGGAACTGATTTACTGTTGCACTATAAATCTTTATATTCCTTTTGCCTCTGGGAACTACTGAGGATGGATTACAAGTTGTCCATTATTGATGGATGACATAACTGTATAAGTATGCAAGATGTGACTCCTTGCATCAATAAATTGTCATGACTACACTTTTTGCTGGCCATTTTTCTTGAATAGAATATAATTTTTGTCACTTGTGTGAAGCCCGTGGATGCAGTTATGTGCCATTGCATATTTCTTGACTTGAACAAATTCTTTTCTTCTACTCTCCCAATTGCCGTCTAAGTCACATCGTACATATAATTGATCCAAAAGTGATTGTTATTGTTTTTGACCAGTGTCTGAAGTATAAGACGGACCAAACACAAGAGGCTAAAAAGATGGAAAAACTGAATAATATATTCTTTTCATTGATGGCTCGGGGACCAGAAGGTATGTCTTTTGTAATGCTTTGTTGATAAGGATACATTTGGGCACCTACTTGCAGAGGGATATATATATTTGAGTGAAATGATTTTGAAATCATTTTCCTGTAATTTTTTTAAATGTTGAAATCTTGGGAAAGAATAATGAGTAAAACTTTAAAGATGAGTGCATGTTAAAGGTGTTAGCCAGCTTAGGATGCGAATAAATTTTTCCTCAAAAGTTCTGTGGTGCATGGAGTTGATAGCATGTTAAACTGCAACCTTTTTCAATTGTAAACTAGTGCTTCTTGGTACCCATGCTTAAAGGTTATGAAAGTTACAAGGCGTACATTGATGAAACCTTTAGGGGGTGTTTGGTTGGAGGATTATGTTGAGATAGATGGGTATTTGAGAAGTGGGATAATTGGATGTCTTTGTTTGGTTTAAACATTTGGAATATATGGCTACCTAAATGATTATCCCACCGAAACAATTTGCATAGGTATTATTGCATGATATTATTGCATGTTAGCCGGCCAAATAAACTATGCAGGATGTCAACCAACCAACTAATCCTCCTACCTAGTATCCAAATTAAAATGGAAGCCACAAAAAAAAAAACTAAAAAGACACTGGTCATGCTTTTCAAATTTTTTTTATAAACAGGGATATTTTCGTAATATCAACTTTTTTTCCATCTATATTTTATCTACAACCAAACATAGACTTTATAAAAGTTACTTAATTTTTCCGGTTAAATTTTTTTCAACCAAATAACTTTTTTTTATATTTTCCTACCAAACTCCTTTTCCTACCATTTTCTACCATTTCCCTATGAATATCATTTTCCTATTATTCATAAAATTTCTCCTCAACCAAACGTCTCCTTAGGGTCTTTTCCTGTCTCATCTTCCTTTAGGGTCTTTTACTGCCTCATCTTGCCTACAGGATTTTCTCACTGTTTTTTTTTTTTTTTTTTTTTTTTTTTTAAATCCTCTAATTCTGCAGTGGATCTATCAGAAGTCACTGGGAAAGAACAAATGGATGCACAACCGACCAAAAGAGGAAGAGGGAGGAAGCAATAACTGATATGTCTGGCTGTCTAAAAGATCTTCATGTATCGTAGGAAATCAGTAATGATTTGATAGACTTTTTTACCCCTTTCCAAAATCTTACAGCAATGCCTTGATTGCATTTGCAGAATTTTTTGTTTTCTGAATTCGTCTCTCGTATGTTAATTAATCTTGGGTATGGTTTTGCGTACAACAAAATTATTCACATATCATTGACAAATTGGCATTACCTTTAACATTGCTATTGTTACTTAAGTATTACCTTGATTCTTGTGATCGTAAGGTCACCGGTTGGAGTTTGAGAAACTGACTCTTTGCAATTTCTTGGGCATATAAGTAAGCTTTATAATACAAAATCTTGCGCGTCAGAAAGAGAGAAAGAGGGGCGTGGAAAATGTTCAAGGCTCAAGACATTAGCTGGCCATGTTTAAAGATCATTGCTATTAGAAAATTTGAAGCTGCTAATCAATTTGCTAACTTTTTTGTTATTAAAAAACTAGAGTCAAGTTCTGACAACTTAATCTGGAATTTTGGTTTCTCGGTTGTTGGATTATTGTTAATAGCCATGGCTGTTTTAATAAGACATCGATCTAGCTGTGTTAAGAATAAAACAAAATTATTCATTTGTCATAGAAATTGTGATACTGTTTACTTCCCAACTTATTATTTATACTACAGTGCTGTGGACAATTTTTGCAACAAGGGTTCTTATCAAATTATACAATGACTACAAATTTTCACATTTCCATGCCACTCTTTTTGGCATATTTGCAATAGGCTGCTAAGTGCTATCAAATTCGTAATTAAGGCAGTGGGAAAATGTGTGTATTCCAAAGGAGGGAAATATATTTCATGTTGCATTTGGTTTCGGGTTAGGAAATAGGGATGATAATGGAGCCTGCTATTGCCCCCAAATAATTTTTAAATTTAATGCAATCAAAATAACTTTATGATACTCACAAACTTGACAACATATATATACATCCAGAACCTTGAGCTTTGGAACTCCCTTCGTCGATCAAGACAGTTGAAAGTTTCCTTAAATAAAGCAAGAGATTGGGCCATAAGATGCTGAAATAAAAGACCAATAACTGTGAGAATCACAAACTCGAGCAAATAAAAGAATTGTAGCTTCTATCGTGAGGGTGACCTATTTATCTATAAAAACGCTTGTACCCCACCTAAGAAACAGAGGTACACAACCTCAAATACAACCTTTCTGGCTCAAACAAATGGGGATATTCTTCGAAGTTTCAGTCCTTGGGAATTCCAGACTTCCCCCCCGTTTTCTCCGTTAAAAACTAAAGAAACATATATCACTACATTTGGTAGACAAAAACTTAGAAGAAAACGAATAATTGCCATAAACTAAGTAATTAGGGAAATATTAGCCTCATGTGATAGTAGACAATAAGTCTCTCCTACATACTCAAATAGGGTCCATTTTAATTTTTCTTTTCTTTTTTTCCTGTATAGTGGGACCCACATAAGTTTGTGAGTGCAATATGAAATATCCTATCTCCTATTGCATGAGAAAATATAATTCTTTAACAAAGAGAGAGACCAAGGTTGTTCGTGGCTGGACAGCTCTAAAGCTGTTACTTGCTTTCCAATGCTAAATGGAACATTTTTGTACTTGATCACGTGCTCAACAGATTATCTTAAACCGTATGTTTATGTATAAACCAACAACTGCAGAGCATCAAAATGTTTTTTCTAATCTAACCACACTCAGACATATCAAAACTTAACTAGCACTCCGTGGATGACAAGGATATATTGTGGGAAAGTCAATACAAGGTTGACAATAGTCTCCAACATGCCTGGACAAGTTTCTGCCTAATCTTGTGAACAGTTAAGCAAGATGCCAAAAGGATTCAACTCATCCTTTTGGTATCAATTATCAGTGAAAAGAAGGATATTTGAAGTAATGGACATTCCTAAGTCCCACATTTTTGTCATCCCTGTATAAAAGATGTTTCTTTTTAAATGTGAAAGCATGTATGTTAATTTGCTAACATTTTTGTGGTTTTACATTTATTTACGGAGAAATTTTATATTTACAAATTTTTTGTTTACAAACTACACTATGTATAATTTGTAAGTTATATACTCTTGATTGAAGTACCAGTCATACTTAGTATAGTTTGTAAATTTGTTAGAAATTTTTTTATAAATATAACCTTCCTCTTTATTCATATGTATTTTTACTTGGGTCTAACAAAATTTAGAATTGAATTAGTCGTGTAATTAATGAATGGCTAAATTTTTTTAGAAAAATAAAAAATTTATTTATAAGATATTAAATTATGTATGTGATAATTCTTGATTTTTTAATTATATTTTCTATTTCCTTTTTTTAATACCGAAGAAAACTTAAGTATTTGGTTTTCTTTTTCTCTTATATTAATATTATTAGTAATTTTTTTGAAATATCCTGTATTTTTTTTAAATTCTAAAAGAATGTCATTTTGAAATTGGAGGATAAACTTTTTCCCTTTAATAAATTGTTAAACTCTTTCAATATAAAAACTTAGGGTTTTATAATTCTCATTCAACATGAGAATTAAAATTTGCCTACACACTCTTCGATTTTCGTACTAACATGGGTCTCACACATAATTTTATCTAACATATGGGTCTCACATGCTTTTTGTTTCTACAACATGAGATTTTAATTCTCACGTGACTTGAGAAATATAAAACCCAAAAACTTATATTAATTAATTTACATTAAATGATTAGTTCTCCATAAGTACAATCATACGCGGACCTAGGGAGGAGCTAGGGTTGGCCACCTCTCCTCCTTAAATTTTGAATTATTTTATTAATATATATATAGAGAGGGGTTATTAGAGCTAAAAATTAGCCTTTCTTTTAAATAAAATAAAAATAAACTTAAAGAATATCCAATCTACCACCCAATTATCCCTTGTTTTCTCATTCTATGGCTTTTGTTTCTCTCTATTTTCTTTTTCTTTTTTTCCTCACTAAATCAAAGTGTGACAGAGTTATTGTTTCATTTGCTTAAAAAAATGATTTCTCTTGGTCCTTGCATCATAAATCAAAGGCGACATAAAGTAAGTAATTTTAGGTGTGTTTATAATCTTAACTTGTTCTATTTGAAATTAAAGAAAAAAAAAATTTCATTTTGAAAAAAACAAAATGATACAAAAATATACATCTTGATATTTTTCAATCATTTGACACTATCATTGATTGGATTCATAACTTCATAATATGAAACAGTAACACGGTAATTTCAATTCATAACTATTTAGTATTCATAACTTCAATGCTTAGTAATACAATAGTCACTTATACTTACTCTCCAAATTTCTACAAAAATTACTGAACGAGCTTTCTTGGTCTTGAAAATATATAATCAAGAGCAAACTTCAAAATCCAATGGAAAACCAAATTTTTTATGATTCTGTGATTACATATATTGAAAAAAAAATTATTTTGAATTTTAGCACAGATTCAATTGTAGAAGAGTTTAACAATATAAAAAAAATGTAGAATAAGAGTTAAGTGAACTGTCCTTGATTTTTATAATAAAATTCTTTCAAACTTTTTATATTATGCTTATTTTTTTATTGTAGGTACTTTTATTTTTATTTTCGGCCTCCACCATAAAAATTTCTCGGTCTGCCTCTGAGTATAATTATCCATCTTAAATGCTTAATAACTGATTAACTAAGCGTGACCAAAAAGTAAATTTCGAGTGCTAGAACATGACTTAAAAAATTGGAAAAAGTTCATAAACCCTCCTATACATAGTTTACTCTTTTATCACTTATACGTAACCCTATGTTTTTTTTTTTTTTTTTTGTCAATTACTTTCCTGGGATTTTTCCTATTCAAATCCATCTTTAACTTCATTAGTAATTGAGATAATTTGGCCATTTTACAATTGTTTTATGTTTCTATTTCAGTTAGGAGGTTACTCATGTAACAACAGAACTTCTCTATCTAAGTTCATGAAGCAATGTGTATGTTTGATTTCCTCCCTCGTTGCTAATAAACCAATGAATAAGTTAAGAGTTGGTCGTTTAGAAACTGTCAACTCCACACAACCATCGAACATTGCTTCCTCTTCATTTCATGTCAAATCAAAGACTCCTTACTATTGAAAATTGCACATAACTGCCTCTAAGGCATAAGAAAAATAATTTAGAAGAGTCATTAAACTCAAATCCAGAGAAATAAAAAAACATAATAATGACAAGAGGCATATTTTGATCCCTTTTTGTGTGTGTGTATTAATCTAATTGATATTTAGTTATAAGAAACATGACTAGATAGTTTGAGTCTTATATCTATCATTTGGTATCAGGCATATGATACCTCTGCCTTGCGTTTTAGTTTTAGATTATGTTTCATAAAAGGATTTTGATTTCAAGGCAATGATTAATATATATTTTTTTCTATGAAAATTAAAGTTAGAAATCATAAGGACATAAGATTTCTAGCATTTTTGTATTTTGAGTCATCAATTTTGATGTAAGAATGGCTTAAAAAACACCGGATTTCAATTCACGTTGCAAAGAGGTTCAATTTGGGTTGTTTGACTCATAAGTTGAAGACAACTCAAATGATAAAATAACCGTGTTATGAAATATGGGTAAAATGGGCAAGTTAATTCAATTACTAAAAGTGAATTTCGATGAAAAAAAATGAGAGTAATTGATAAAAAAAAGTATAAAAATATAAGTGTTAAAAAAATAAACCACAGGGGATTCATGAATTTTTCCCTAAATTGTAAATATCTCGTTTATGTTGGTGCGATGAATTTGAATTGATGCCTTGGGTTGTTTAGCAAATACAAAACAACGTTGTTGGGTTAACATATTTAAGTTTCATTCATAGATTAGAATAATCATTTTATGAATTTGTGTTTGAAATATTCAAATGTGAACAGTAGTGAAATTCACATCGATTAAACATGAATCAAGTGAAGACTATATAAGTGCAAAAGATCCATAAATTTTCAGTTTTAAGATTTTGAGTTGAGATACAGCGTCAGCTTATTTATTATGATTTATCATCTGATCCATTGATAAGAAAATCTTTACAAAGAGTTTTCAGCTCTTCCATACCATTCACAACTTTAGTATCAAAGCCAAATTAAATAGTAACGAAATCCCAGGTAGATTAAATTTTACCCAAAAACAGTAATGGAGCGTTTAGGACAGAAATTTTTTTTATTTGTCCTGTAGTTTTGATTTTTAAAAATATGATTTTTACATTTAGTTTATGATAATATTTGAAAATTTAAAATTTTAAAAATTTTAATTTTTCGAAAATTCAAAAAAAATCTGTGTACCAAACGGTATTAATGAAAATATTAATAAAAAGTAAGCATAAAATTTTATATAAAATATAATGTAAGAAGATTTATTCTTCTTTAAATTTTTTTAATAGTTTTGTTGTTTGGTCATTAAAGTGACATGGGACTTCGGTCTTATCAATGCTTTTGACTTTTTGCATTTTGCATTTGCTTTTGGCTTTCTCAAATATTTATACATTTATTATTCAATTTTATATTATGTTGTAAAAAAAATAATTATGTTTATGTTATAAAGATTCATTTTCGGTGTCTTATTTTTTTTTCTTACTTCAAAAAATACTAACCCCACAAAATATTATATGTGTAGAAATTTTTTTTTTTATGTTGAATGATGAATGCAAACCCTTTTATTATTTTCTAAGTTGCTCTAATTTTCTTAACTTTCAGCACGAACTACATTTTCCTCGAAATAATTTGCAGGAATATTTTACAGCAGGATAACATAGCAGCTAGCAAACAAGAAGTAATGCTTGCAAATAATTAGAACATCAAAGTCACTCACACATAGGATATTTTTTCCCTAGTAAAAATTTGTTTGGACTTTTCATTACCCTCTTACAAACAAACCAGAAAACACACATGATTTGCAGAACTATAACCAGAAAGCTAGAACTGGCAGCCAGATCTATGATACATCAAGCCTCTCACATAATGTCATGGACTCGAAGAAAGAGCCCAATATTTGTTCCACACTACTCATATTATATTATATTGATCTAGACAGACACCAAACCAAAACTAGTGAATATATATATATACAGGGTTGAGTAGCTTAGTTAGATTCATATCAAGCACTAATTCCATCTCCGGGGTTCAACTTTGATGATCCCGAGTTGTTGGCAACATTAAACTGAGATGCATACTTGTTGGACGCAGCTTCAGTCACTGGAGGCTCATTCAAAAATGCCCAGCTACTTTTTGTCCACCTTCAAAACCCATATCCAAAATATAAATTGAAATTCTACATGTTTCAGAGCACTTCATTGAAAAATAACAATAAAAGTGTAAAACTAGTGAATCAATTGTACAATTATAATTGTAAAGAGTAATTTTACCATCCATTTTTCTTAATAAGATGCTCCAAACTTGTGTCAACTTTGGCCATGGGCATGGTGATTGACTTCTGAAACTTCTTCTCAGGTTCCTTGTATTTTGTAACCTGTCCAGGATGCATCATAAACATCGCAAATTTGAGCTAGCTTATTTTTCTTTTTTCTTACCACCATATACAAACAAAACCAAAAAAAAAAAAAGACCTTCCCTTTAAACCTGACTACGACTGTGGAATGGAGAAAATCTTTATACGCTGTGTTATTTTTACATAATTGCAAATAAGCTGTTTCCTGAATTCAAACACATCTCATGAAGGAACAATTTTACCAGTACTCCGATTCGCCCCCTTACCACCATATACAAACACGAGAGAAAAAAAGAAAGCAGAGAGAGCAGTGGCATGTAGAGGTTCCAATATCAAACCTGAGTAGTCTCTGAAAGATTAGAAATAGCTTTAAGGTGTTCCTCCTCTATCTCCTTCTTTGATCTCCAATAAGCATCAATTTCATCTTTGGTGAGTGAACGATTCCTTTTAAGTGTAGCTGAAACATTTGAAAAGTTTTCCCATCATCAGAAATCACTACTTTTTTAATATGGCTACTCTACAAAAGGCCTATGCACAAAGCATATTCATTGGTACATTACCTGATTTAGGATCTAAGAGGGAAGAGTGCCATCCTGCCATAAGAGAACCCATTGTTGCTAAATTTTGTTCTGTAATGTATCACACTATCAGTATCCCCAATGTCTTTATAAATAGATAAACCTACTTTGTTAATCTTCACAGCTTTATAATATTTTATACAGAGCTAGTGAGGTGTGCTTATATTTTTTGGTCTTATCCCTTATCCATTTTTTTTTTCTTAATGAATGGTGTAATGGTCCCACTTAAAATATCAAAGCTTATCCTACGATCCCGATGAATAAAATAAGGGTTTTATAAGAATTACGTGGTAAGAAAAGTTATCATGTCATGTTGTAGAGATTTATTTTTCATGCTTATTTTTTTTTTTTCATAAATTATAAGCTTCACGAAATATTGTGTTTGTGAAAAACTTTGTCATGTCATGTTGCATGACAAACGAAAATCCCATAAAATAATTGAAAATTCTAGGTTTCAGCTCAGGTAGCCCACAGAATTAGAAAACAAGGTGGTGATATCACCCGCAGTTTTTGGTTTTAATTTTCTGCTGTTGGCCTTCTCCCTTTCAACAGGTAAATATGGCACTGTTGATCTAAATCTTGTGGTTCCACTTATTGGTAATTATTCATGTCTTCTGTTTGAATTCATAGATTATTGGTGTTAATCCTAAAATTAAAAGTCAAGTTTGTGTTTGAATTTATACATATACATTTGAGTAACTCTTACAAAACATTACATAAATGAAAAATTATACTCTTATGTTACATAAGATTCATCTCTTATGTTACACTCACATAAAAAGACGTGTTTCACTTTTTTTTCTTTTTTAAAAATTGGTGAACCCCACTTAATTTATCTCACAACATAAGATAACTTCTCTCCTACAACATGAGAGAAGTAAAGCCCTACATAAATATATCTTTTTTTTTTTCTTTCTTCTTTCATCATCGTTAACAGAGATTACAATATACACCCAATTAATGTATCAATTAATTTTTATTTTAGGATAGGTTTTTCCTACATTAATAAGTGTTATATTCATTCTTACCCATTGATCAGTTGTATATGATAATTTACATGATTAAAAAAATTAAATATGATCAGATATAAATAAAATCAACTATCAAAATTATTCAGACCCTTCTAAAATTAATATGATAATTAAAATTTAAAATCTTCACCGTGTATGATGTACCTATCATTCCTTGACCTGTAAGGTGTGATTAATGCAAGTGCAAATGGGGATCTCTCCTGAGTTCTGATTCCCTGAATACGACACCGATGGCGGCAACTTTTTATTTTTTTATTTTTTTATATTATAAATTATAGATATCTTCTCAGTTCTTACGAAGCACTGATCATTCAAAACTCTTGACGTGTCGTGTTCGGTACTTTTCAACATTCACAGACACTTCGATATTTTTTAACACTCCAATACTCGTTACAAAGACTCAAAAAATGTTCAAAGGGTATGTTGTGTTGTATTTTGAGCAGTGGCGGACCCAGGAATTTTTCCTGTGGGGGGCTAAAAATTAAACATTTACTTTTCTCTTCAAACATAATATATGAGAGACCAAAATACGAAAAATTTAATATATGTTCCTCTTTTCAACTACAATATGTGGGAGGCCGAAACACCAATCCAAAGAACATAACTCATAAATACCTCTTTTAGCTTGTTATAGAGAGAAAGAAGGAGACAGAGAGGGGTGAAAGATGTCACAATAAAATTTACTATCAATTTGAAAAAAACTACACCTTTTCAACCCCTAAAATGAACATTTTTTATGCAAAGAAAACAAAGAAAAAGAGAAGAGAGCAAATGTTTAGATTTCACAAAAAATATGTACTAATTACTATAATTTAAATAATAATTCAAAGCAGAACCCTCTCATTTCTTAATCTCTTTCTCTATTTACTCATTGTTAGCCCAACAAGCCAAAGATAAATCAGAAGAGACAGATTGCCAAGAAGCACAATCACCAAAACCCTTTTGTCCCTCACTTCCCTCTCTGTCATGAATCATCAGAAAAGGAGATGGGTCAAAAGAATAAGGTTCATTCTTTCATAAGATTCTCGGATTTCTTATTTTTATTCATGGATTGGAAGATTTGTGCTAACATCTAAGCATAATAAAAGTTGAAACTGTAAGTTTCAAGTCGAGGTTTAAACTATAATTTAAGGGGAAAGTTATATTTACAAATTTTTTGTTTAGAAACTCTTTTAAACTATATTGTGTCTGACCGTCATACTTTAATCAAGAGTGCATGACTGGTCATACTTAGTGTAATTTGTAAAAAAAATTGTAAACAGATCTTTTCTTATAATTTAATGCTAATTTCATATGCTAATTGTTACCAGCAGGTCTGTGCCAACAAACAAGCGCCACGTAGCTAAAAGAATTTGAACTAAGAGAAACCATGTAACTCTATTGGTGGTCACTGATACTTCCAACACTGTGATGTAATCTTAAATAAACCTATTTTTTGTTAAAGCAAAAAAAGACAAGATATTATTAAATCCTGGATTTGATAATCGTGACTTTCTTTTCTCTATCTCTTACTTAACTCTCTCTAAAACCCCCATACTAAACCCTGAGCTTACTTTTCAATTCGACAAGATCTAATCATTGTACTGCACTCTTTCTCATTCTTTTTTTGTTTTGTTCATTTCGTTAACTTTCTTGGAGGGAGAAAAAATACAATCAGAGTTAGAGGGGTTTCAATAGATATATAACCTGAGAATATAAAGAAGTTCTATAAACTCTCTTAGAGAGAGAAATTTACTTCACATTAATGGAGAGAGAGAAAAATGAAAGTTTATTACATTATACTTATGTTAAAAAATTTCTTCAAATTTTGAGGGGGGCAGCCGCCCACCCTAGCACCCCCTAGGTCCGTCCCTGATTTTGAGTTCCAATTATTAGATTCGTTATATTACGATTACGATTTTATTGAGTTTAATATAAATATTTGGGATGTATGATGTTTCTTTGTAAAATTAATGCGTATTATAAATTTAGCTTTTTTTTTTGTAAAATTAATGAATACTAAATATAATATACATTACATAAATTAAAAATATTATATAATATTAAAACGTATCTTTAAAATTAACGTATCAGAGTGTTATATTCCGTGTCATGTCAGTATCATACAACATAAATATCTTCCATAGAAAATAATTCTGTTCGAGATGGATCTAAAAACAAGACTTTAAATTTCTCTTAAAAATAATACTAAAAAAAATCAAATATATACTCTTATATCAACTCTTGAACTCTTATATGTTATATCATTTAGTTAATGCCGCGATAACTTTCATAACGTGAACTTGTCTGATTGTCTCTGGGATGGGGTCCACACATTCAAATAATCTTATCTTGAAGATAATATCTCCACCAAACTTTACTTTTGTTTTGGTGCTTTGTCTTAGGTATTTGCCACGACTGTCATTGTCTTGCTCTCCACTCAAAACCACACTTAACTAGCAATCCAAGGAAAATATTTTTAAAATATTAGGGATGTATCGATCGCTGGTATATATATTTTTTTATCAAATATTAAAAAAGTAATTCATTTACATTATTTTTATTTTTATGTTTATTTTTTTTCATATCCCTTTTTTTTTCCCATCTTTGATAAGGGAGGACTTGCTGTATCAAAAATATACTCCAGCCAAGGGAGGAAACATATTGCTAGCATTTTATTATTATTAATTATTATTATTATTGTGAAAACATAGTGGTCGGATTTGACACAAAGTAATCATCTTTATACATTCTATTGTCAAACCAAAACTCCACACAATGTTGTAACTCGTTAGTTTTTTATTTGCTAAATGGTTTGCAATTCAAATTGACCTGTACTATCAGAAAAAATTCTTCATGAGAAATCTATATATTTCAATTTTCTATGAACGTATCTGCCGCCGTTTGTTTACATAAAATTTGGGGAAATTTTCAAGTGTTACAACATTATTTACAAGCTAAGGTCAATAAAGAACAAAGGCTGACTTGATTTTTATAAAAGTATTAATAATATTTATTGATCTTAATATTATTATGGATTTAGTGTTTTTCTCGTTGCAGATAGAATTATGTCCTATTTCCCCAAAACAACGTTGTTTCATAATTGGAAGAAAAAAAGTTATTATGATAAAGATTAATATACTCCCAGATAAATTAAGATTACAAAAATATCTTTCTCCGTATCTCAAAATAACATAGTTTGGGGTCACAAGAGATAAGTTATACCTAGATTGCGAAACATTAAACCTTATTATTATTATTTACTTTCATTATTTCAATATATAAATTAAATTACAAAATAATATATTTATCTAGAAATTAGTATTTAATATCTCTTATTACATTAATTAGTATATTTATATCTTTTACTAACTAATGAAAAAACTTTAAATGTGTATTCTTAAGACACATAATAAGAAATTAAATAAAATTTATCACTTATTCTAATTATTTTAAAAATATTAATTGCATTTTAAATTTTTTTAAATGTTAAATGTTTATACCTGTATTTAATAATTTATATTTTTGATTTCTTATTATATAAGAAAACATATTAACAAAATCTATCCATTAGTGAATAATGTTTTCATTAGATAATATGGTCACAATCAATCAGGCAAGCAATATATATTTGCCAAAGGAGAAGAATCAATAAGGAATAAGATAAATCAATCCTCTAATACGATTTGACCTCATTTGAGACAATTCCAGTCTTTTATAGATATATTAACGGCTACAAATACTAAGTTGCGATGAAGAGTAAGAGAAATATATCCTCATATCACATAAAATGATCCATTGTCAATTTGTCATCTTGATAGACTTGGAAACAAATAAATCAAATAATATATGAATAAGACTTTTTTTTTTTTTTTTTTTGGTAGAAATATGAATAAGACTTTTATATATGAAAAATATTGTCTACACAAACATACATAATTTGCAGCCGAGAATCTCTTCAAATTTGGTTATGGGTTCGTATCCAACTTTCTCCATCGATCATGTCCATGCTCAAGTAGAGCTGGGCTTGTTGGGCTGTAAGCATGCGTGATCATTGAAACCTTCTCCCTGACTTAGCCACATGGTCCATTACCTTTTTTTTTTTTTTTTTT